GTACCTGGGGATTCTTAGGGAATTTCTTTGGACTTTTGGTTTTAGAGAACTTCAAGATACTTATTTTATGAAGACCACCTGGAAAATAAAGAGCTTGTCAACTCTCTTCCCCAGTAGAAAAGGGAACTGCCAGTAGAACTGGAATACAAAGCTCAGAGTAGAGAAGAGCCTATTTCTTAAGGAGCTGCTAGTTTTAGGATATTTGGAAAGGAGGTGAAATCAACAGACTCCAGTACTCATCTGAGTGCTCCTCTCTATAATGGATGTCATTTTATTTCTGGAAGAGTCCCTGGTTTGCATGATTTCTTTCTTCAGCTTTGCCATAAAGGATTTTGTGCATATCCTGGACTAGAGGGTCTGATGTCCTATCTCACACATACGTTGCAGCTGACCCTCTTATTGCCTGGATGGGTCATGCAGCCTGATACCCTGAAAAAAGATCCTCTGTGGGAAAACTTGCCCCGGCGGGAGCTGAGTTGCTGCTGCTGCCTGGCAGTCTCCTTTCCCATTCATTAAGAGCTTTTGGGCTAATCATTTGGTGGCATCATTAAAAGGGCAATACTGAGGCTGCCTGCCATAACAGAGCAATTCAGCAGTGCGTGTACACCCACGCACACGTGCACACCCACGGATCATGGGCCCAGTAACGCAGGACAAGCTATAATTAACCAGATGAATGAGTCCATCTTCCTTTTTTGCTGCAGTCACTTGTCACTCTCAGCTGTGTTTTGTGCTATCCCCACCTTCTTATGTTTTGTGGCTTTATTTTCCATTTTAAGCACTAAGTACTAATGGGGTGGGATGGAGCAGGATTCAAACTGTTTCCAAGTTTTTCCATATTTTCTCCTCCACACTGAAAATAACCCCTAGCAAACCCTTAAAGATGAGGACTGCTGTTTAACTACATTGGTCTTTCATTGTACTCTGAAGCTACTTTTAAAAATTTCCTTCTGCCTTCATAAGAATCCAGTGTTAGCCCTTGCTACTTTGTACAATTAGAGCCACTTAATTTTACTGTTTTGATATAAAAAGCGTATAGCTTACAGGTTTTTTTTAAAAGTAGTTTGAAATTTTTTTTGAGATCAAAAAGGCTGAATTTTAAACATTAAGAAAATAATACTGACTGGGTAGTAGGTTAAAGAAATATTAAAATAACCCTCACAGACCTAAATAGGAAAAGTCAGTTATGGCAGGCATAAATCATGGCCAGAGAGCAGAGTTTGGGTCTGTCTGCCCTCAGCAATGGACATATTATTTTAATAACAAACTGATGTTCTGAAGAAACAGGCTGCTTTCTCTTCACATTACTGCTGAATGTTCAAAGAAACTGGGTCTCCAGAGGCTGAGTACAAGCAGATGTTTATCTAAAAATCCTGTTGAGAGTTTTCTTCTGAAGCCATGTGCTTGTCCTTACTGTCACTCATTTTTGAAGTTCAGGAATAGAAAGACACCAGATTCTCGACTTTGACATAAAATTTCTTTACAGGCAGATAAGCCATTTATTCTGAGGTTTTCCTAAACCTTTTCCAGACCACTTACGACACACCATTTTTGTTGGGCAGCAGTTCTGTCCAGCCAGTAAATTATTATAAGGATGACTAGATTGGTTTAGAAAAAGCATGAGACCCCTTGGCTACTAGATCTCATGCAGATTTTTATCAACCTTTTCCAAGTCCTACACTGGCTGGGTTTCCTTATAGCTGAGGCTAGAATCAAAGTTTCTTGTTGAAAAATTCCAAGATTAAAAGGAAAATATGTTTCACCTGGGTTTGGGTGGAAAATCAGATTTTCTTACAGGATTCTTCTGAAATGGGATGGCTATTGGCACAAACAATGGTAGGATATATGAATAGTGTGCTCTGGGGCCTAATGAGTTCATTTGTATCCTGAGCCTCCTAAAAAATTTGCTTGTCTTTATGACTGCTGTCCAAATAGCATGGTGATACGTGTCTCTGTTGATGTGGAAAAATCTGGTCTAGTTTGCAGGTCTGAACAGTTTGTACAGCTCTTGCATTGGATTGTTGGATGCCATCTTAGTTTCATACAGTCCAATAGTAAGTGTTACCCCATTCCACCTCGAGGTGGCTTTGACTTTTATGATTTGAAAATTGTTTTAGTATCTTGTCAGTCTTGAAACTGATGTAAAGGTGAGACAACTATGTCAGTTCACATTTTCCACGTTGATTTTACTCTGTCTGATTTGAGGCCTTTGTTACACATGTTGCAAATGTCACAGATTTCATATCTCAATGGTTGAAGGTTTTAGTTGTTAGTGACATTTTCTTGGAGATAAATACACTCATTTTCACTCTTACTTAAATTGAAAGGCAGGAATATTTTTGGATGAGAAAAACTGGTATTTTATTTCATTATTTCTATTATTATTTTATGTAATAATGAGTCTGGAATTCTGTTGGTAGTCTCTTTGTTAAAATAAGGGTCCTTGTTGATGGACAACTTATGAAACAACACTGTTTTTTTGTTCTGTCTCCAAGTCCACCCTCCTTTTCTTCCTACTTTAAAAAAGGAAAAAGTAGCATTGATGGGAAGGTCATTGTTTGTCATTACTCTCCCTGCTTTCATTGTTGAGTTGGGACTAGAAGATCAAGAGGTACATGCAACACCAGTACCATGACTGCTGTGGTATTTCAAATCTGTGGAGAAGCAGGAAGTGCCAGAATATTTCTTAGGGATACTTTCTTTTGCAGGCATTTAAACCAATGCCAAGTCGGGGGCCCCAACATTGCATTTATTTGGGAGTGTGCTCACTCCTCAGCTGCAGGCAGAGGGCTTGTGGGGATGCACCTGGCTGATGTGCCTGCCAGATAGGGCACATGGCATTGGTCTTCCAGGGAGAAAGACAAAAAGGGGTGTTGACATTGCTGACTTTTTGAGGTTTTTAAAGCTCTGTCGCTGGTGGAGAGAAAATGGATCTTCTTATGGTGTGATTTAGGGTGTTTAAGGTAGACTCTTGCCTTAAACGTTCTCTGGAGGTTTCTCTTTGTTTGTGTCCAAGTAGACAAAACCCCTGCCATCCCCACTAGCTGCACCTGCTGCTGCTGCTGGGCCTCTTAGCTATCACTTTCCTTTCCCACAGTGTACAAAGCCTCAGGATCCCCATCTCTGCTTTGGATCTGATGTCCCCTCCTTGTTCAGCTAGCTTCTACTGCATGTGATACTGACACCTTCTAGCCTTCTCAATTTTTTTGGTACTGGTACAGGGATTCTGTGGATTGTAGGTCCTAAAAGTTATACTTTTGTTTTCCTGCCTTTTACGGTGACTTTCAAGTGTCCGTTTGATCAGACCTAAGATTTGACTGTCAAGAATGATGGGGTCAGTGGCCATAAATAGAGACAAAAATTCAATCCACTCTCCTAGCAGAGCAAATGATTCACTGAATTATATCATGTAATTTAAACCAGAAGTGTCCTACAGTATCAAATCTGCTAGGTTTATTTATAGCTAAAAGACCTAAAAGAATCTAAACCTATGTTATGTTTCTGATTATTTTTCTAAATCCACAATAATCTTCAAGAATATTAAGGTATTTGCATTCCTTAGACTGTACAATTATTAATCCCCTTATCTGGCTTGAAGTTCTCTGTGGGTGAACATATTCTTAGGATGATCTGGATTTTAGATTTTTTCAGCCAATGCAAAGGAAAACCATAAAAGAGAAAGGAATAAACAAATTCAAACTCAGCATGCTGCTTGTTAAAAATTCTCATTCTAATAAATTTATTTGACCTCTCAGCCTTGGTGAAATTAAAAAGTAACAGCCCTGATTGATTAAAAAACTGACTTAAAATATGGTGTGTGTGTGTTGTATATGTGAATGTATCAACAGCCCTGCCATATTAAGTGCTATGAGAAGCAGGAGATGTGAGAAGGAATCAAGCTAAGGGACGTTGGTCAGGGAACCAACGTTGGTTAGTATGGAAGGGGTGTGTGGCTTGAGTGTGTAGGACTTGAGTTTTGTTATGTTAGTTCTGTGATGTCGTGTCACAAAATTGATTAATTTCATGCTTAATGGCTTGCACATGGATATATATAAATATCCAAACAATATTTGTATTAATAGAGTACAGTAAACCTATTTGAAAATTGGGCCTAGACATAGAATTTGATTGTAACAGACAAGGCTTGTGCCAGAAAGAATTATCAGAGAGTGGAGCAACCCAAGTAAATGCTACAACGTCATCTGCAGAGATGACAATGACTGCCTCTGCTGAGGGGTACTGTGGTGCTTTCTGACTTTACTTTCAGTTAAGAAAATTAAGAGTAGCTTGAGCTGTAGAGCTGTAAAGTAACACACTGTCCTAGGAAACTCAATCTGCAGTTCTTCACAGAAAGGGTGTGGAGGTGTATTTAAATATGTTATAGGTAATTTTTTTTAGTCCTTGCTGTGTCTGGTGTCTAATTAGTAAGTGTGAGCACTGTTGATATACTCCTAAAAATACATGATGAAGCCACATGTTCAATAAGGACAGCTTTGTGTATGTGTATGCATTTAGACCAGAGGATTTGTCTGAAGCAGTTGTGGTGTGATCATGGCCTCCCTTTTACTGACCACTGCAATCCTGAATTTAAAGTCTTTAGCTGAGGAGAAGTTATTTCTGTATCTCTCCAGAGGAACAACAGCTCACTGCAGACTGTCATTGCAGACCTTGGCCTTCATAGCACGTTTAGCTATAGTGGTGTGCAGTCTGGATTCTGCCCCCCACAAGGGATGTGCTGAAGCTCAGACACAATTCTGCAATGAGCAGCAGGTTTTTTCTACCAGTGACAGATGCTTTCCTGCCCAGTGTGGGAAGATGCACCTACAGATGTTTGTGCCCTGTGTGCTACAACCATACTTGGCCTAGCTCAAGTATGTGAGCTCCAGTCCTGACAGGTATTGGACTGTGACCAGTGTGCATGGATATTACTGCTTATTTTCAGTTTTGTTCTTTTTCTCTTACTTCCTCTCTCTCTCTTTCTTTCTCTCTCTCTCTCTCAGGCCTCTCACACCTGATGATGGGTGAACAAGGTAAGTCCTTCCACTTTTTCTTTGTTTCTGTCACTGATCATGAAAGAGTTTTGTCTTTGCTGTTTTTCTGGGCTGGACTTTGTATAACTAAAGCAGCTAAGCTTAGAGAGTGCCAGTCAAGCCATTTGCATTTTTGCCTCTGTGTCCTATGAGCCAAGGCATCTTGTCAGCCTGGGACTCAGATACCCAGGAGGGAGCATGAAATGATTCCATGGATAGTAAAAAGGTATGCGTCCCTCTTCCTTGCAGCCCACCAACTGCTTTATCTTGCTATTTCTTTCTTTTTGTGCCAGCTGTAATGACTCCCACTTCTGCCTACTAAATGTAGACCTCAATGTTGATCTTTATTTTAAGAGTACAATTATTAGAAAAAGTATGTTGATAGCACTTGTAGCATGATCCTAGCTCATTATGAATCCTGAGGAAATTTGCATATAATGGCCTGTAAGTCCTGCATCTGCAATTTAAAATACTCAAATACATACAGAACAAAATGGTTGAGAGGAACAACAGGGCTAACCCCATATTGGGCTACAAATGGGATCTAGGCCCAGATCAGAGATCACATTTTAATATTTCAGCCTGCACTGAGTTACAGATCTACTGGCTGTGACAGGATGGGATAATGAGTCCCATTTTGCACTGCAGGGGTGTGGAGTAAGAAGCTGGTGAGAACAGGTGAAGCGAGGAACATTGTGGTTCTGTTTTTCTCTGACATCTCAGTGTCTGAATGAGATGGGTGCACAGGAGTTAGCAGCACTCCTGGTGCCTTCTAGTCTTGTGAGTGCAGGAGTGAAATGACTTAAGACTTAATGCAAGGTGTGTACAAGTGCTGCGCTAAGAAGACCAAACGAAGTGTGTGGCCTATCGGAAGAAAATGTAAGTTTTGACTCTAATGTCTGATGAGGCTTTCCTAGTCTAGATGTATGCAAAAGCTTTTTTGGCATTAAGTAAGCGTGTATCTGAGGATAAGATGGCCCAAGGAGTTAGTAAGATAGTACACAGTGCCTCTGAAGGCTAAAGATTAAGTGCTTGAGTAAAACAGTCATAATTTCTGTGTATCTCAGTGAAATGTAGAAAGACTTAAGACATAATCAGTTTTTATTCTATTTTTCAAGACAGATGTGTGCTCTGAGGTCATGAAAGGTTAGATAACAATCAGAAGAGAAATAGGGGCTTATTTATCAGTTTCTATACTGCTTAACATCCCTGTGTGACAGGAAAGGTAGGAAAATTTGTCTCTTTATAGATGTATATTAAGACCACGGTGTTAGGCATGTGGAGCATCTGACTAAACTTTGGAAAGCATTGAGCTCCTTCTCTGTCCCCACTTACTGTTCAGCTGGGCTCATGGCTCAGAGGTTGTGCCTGTTGAAGGATCATGAAGCAGACAGGTCCCTTCAGCATGTCCTAGTTGTTCAGGATGCAGTTGAGTATGGCAAGCTGTTTTGACAGAGGAAGGCATGTTGGCAGTGATCAGAACAGTTGATGGCCACTTTCATTCTGAATAACACTGAACATTTCTTCGTAGTGGTCTGTGATTTTGCATTATATTATGTAAACAGTTGCACTTGGACATTTAAATTATAAGTTGCAACCCAGCTGGCTCATGAAGACTTGCATGACCTATTCAGGCCAGTCATCAGCACTTTCTATACTCCCTCATCTGGCAAAAATGTGAAAACTATTGGCTTCTGGCAACTTTAGACACCCTTGTTTATCTATAACATGTCAGGGAACAGTGGCTTCTCCTTTCCTGCCAACAAACTCACAGATATTGCCTTTTGATAAATATTTACTCTCTATAAAAATATGATGGATATAAAAGATGTAAATGTATATGTGTAAGTAAATATGCAATGTCAACATTATATACAAATACATTAGCTCTGGTAGGTGAGATGTGTTTAGCAAATATATTACCATGAGATTTATTTTTTTCCTATCCTATTCTGTTGTTTCCCTTGCTGTTTTGAATTTGACGTGGATTGAGGCATATAACTGGCGTGGTATTGCATGAGCAGTTTGCATTTCTCAGTAGAAAATCAAATTAAAGCTTAACCAGGCAGCTGCTGATTGTACTGTCAGTGGTTTAAGCTTTGCTTTGTGCTTTAGTTGTGGTGTGTCTCTTGTTTTTCTCTTGACATTGTGTTTTGTTGAGTTTGGCTGCTAGATAAATATGCTCATTTCCTTGTTTTTCTAAGTATGGCCAGTGACGTATTTTTCTGGTTTTTTTTATGCTTCCTCCTTCTCTTCTCTTTTGCCTTCTCCGTGGTGGACACGTCTCTTGTTCCTCCTCTTAACTGGACGCACACCTTCCTGTCTGTAGGTAGAAGTAAAGGTAGAGATCACATTCTTTTTAAGACTTCATTGCTTGTAAAATGCTTGTTGATGGGCAAAGTGTACTTCTTTGTACTTCTATGTACTTCGCGTTTTATATTGGAACTTAACACTTTTATTTTAAGAAGTCTCTTAATCTTTTGTATTGAATTATGGAGGAAATATTTGTGAAGATTAATGCTTTAAGGCCTTCCTAAGAGATGCTATTTTCTCTCTATTCACACTAAATAAGAGCTGTTCAGTGTCAGGCCATCTGTAGCTGGAGATGTTGGGGTGCAAGGGGTTCATCAGCTCAGTGAAAGATAGAGCCACAGGCCAGTGAGCTCATCCTGCTGCCACACACTAGAGCAATGCCACTGCTGGCAGTTTTGCTACTGGTGTTGGTGGCAGCAGAACCTGGGCTTGCCCAGGACCCTTCAACAATGGAGGTTCTTTGAGCTATTGTTTCTTCCCCTGGCTCTGCTTCCCATCATTTCTGTTTGTGTTAAGGTGTTTTCCAAAGAGAAATTGAGTGGCAAAAAAGCTGCAGAGGAAGCAGAAGTAATCAGCACTGCTGAACAGAGAGGTCCATTTCCTTTGCAGCCCAGTACAGCTCAGGGCATGCTAGACTGCTCTGGGGCTCCAACTTGCTCTTCAGCAGTTCACACCTATCTTATGCTGAGGGCTGTCACCCATCCCTTATCAAAACTGCCAAAAAGGCAAAATGCTGCAAACTTGCTATGGGTCTTCAGCTGGACTGGAAAGAAAAGTGAAGATTGTTTGATAAATTATAAACACACCTTGAGAATTTTTTTTTAATCCTATTTTTCAATGAGAAAGGTTAAAGGTTTTATGTTGAGGCTTACTCCATTCCAGTGAATACACTGCTGAAAAATCTGATTTATTTATTAGCCTGATTTGAACATGTTGCTTGTGTCCGTGCCAGTAAGATGCTGGGGAATGAAATGACTACTTGTGCAGCTATGAATTTGGGAGGGATATGACCTCAGAGGATTTGTTTGTGAAAACTTTCCTTTAAGGCGCAAACAGTCTCTGTTCAGTAATTACTACTCCAATAATATCTGAATTCTAGGGAGCACAGTGGCATATAAAACATCTTAATTTGTGTGATTCCTTTTTCTGATGCCTAGCTTTCTTCTAACAATTTTGTATTGTTGAATTCTCTGTGATGGAGTACATTATGTAATCAATATTATTTGTTCTATTTTGAGGTTGAAAAAATATTCTAGTAATTAATTTCATAGTTTTTCTATTATCTCCAAACTTAAGTGATGGAGGGTAATACCTAAGCTGTACTCAGAGCTATCTTCTCAGCAAGAGGTGAACATCAGAACATAATAATCACATATATATATATACTGTGAAAAATAGCGGAAACTGAAGCTCTAAGCAGACCATGTAAAATGTTACTGTGCCTCAACACAGTTGCCAATAATTCAGATAGCTGATGTATAGCTTAGTGTGGTTTAAGGGTCAGTGTAGATCAGGGCAAGTCTTGTGTGATGTTAGTTCATGTTCTTTTTTTTGGGTGGCATTTATGTTTCAGGCCAGCCTGTGTAGGACTGAACTGAAAGTCTTCTCCAAGGCAAAACTCCTAACTGAGCTGCTAGGCATAAGGATTATAACATATATTCAGTCCACAGTTAATTAATAGGTACTGAAAGTTAATTTGTTGTGTCATGGAGTGAAAATATTGTTTCACTTCCCAGCTATGTGTAGTTTTTAGCTCTAGTTATAGCAATGGACTTTTTCAGAGAACCATCAGTCTGTGTGAAAAATGGCATTGCTTTCAGAGGGCTCAGACTGTAATTTTGAATCCACACATGGCCTTCAACTCACAGAGAAAGATACCAGATTCCTTTAGTGCTTGCATGGAAGGTTCATATTGTTTTTGCATTCTTGTAGTTTTTAGTGAAAACTGGCAACAACTCTGTCTCATGTCATGTATGTAGCCAAAGGACGTGATGTATTTGATTTAATTTTGGATATGTTGTATTTGATTTAATAAAATGTCTTTGCAGCATACAGTGGTCTGTTACCTTGCATTCATCATTTAAAGCAAGTGTTTGATTAGTTGTTTCCACTGCAGTAAATAGGCTTCCTCTGCCTTTCTAAAATGTGCAGGAGATTTTGATTTTTTTTTATAAGTTCCTGGAAAGTTGAAGAAGGTGAAGTGTAGGTGTTCTGGGGTAATGGCTGGAGTAGTTGAGATACAGACAAGCACCTGGATATCACTTGCATTTTAACCTGAATTGAGGTTTCAGGTTAAATGCTTTGAGTTCTTATTTGAGGTATGGAACTGGTCGTGGAAGTGAGGTAAATATGTGATGAGCAAGGACTTTTGTTTGGCAAGAATTAATGAATATGACTTCTCTTCTGGAGAGGTACTGAAAATTAAGGAACAATTATATTTGTAATTAAAATTTTGAAATTTACTTCCCTACCGCTTCCCCACAGGTAAATGATATCAAAGGAAATTATAAATATCCAACTTTATATGCTACTGGAGTTAATGTGTTATCACCTTCTTCCCTATAATTTGTTTTCTTGGAAGTCTGTGTTAAGGATATGATTATTTGCCATTTTTTTACCTTCCACCATGAGAGTTTTGTATTACCATTGCTCTTGTTTTGGATCTGACATCTACTGAGGCTCATGTGCCCTTTGAAAATTGTCTGTATTCCTGGTGGGAATCTGCTATTTTCAGTGAATTAAGTCCCTTGTCTTCTTGAAGGCAATAGCAAAATTCACATTGAATCCAGTGAGCCAAGAACCCAAAGAACTGAAGATGCTCTCTCTGACACAGAGAACGACCAGTGAGCATGAGGTTCCTGGGTGTGCACAGGACACCCTGTAGCACCCATGCAGACTTCTGGTGCTTCTCCAAGGCATGTAGCTCCTTCCTTCCATCAGTAGTTGTGCTTCTTGGTGTAAACTACACAGCTGCCCACTCATTCTCAGTATGAAATAGGTTTTTTCTTAACTGTCAGAGAGAAGTGAAAGAGTGGTATCTTTTGAAATGCATGTTGTGTGGACCAAAGGCTCTACTGCCAATTTTGCCATTGAATAATCAGCATTGCAAAATCAGATTATCTGCTTTGGTCCTACCTGCTCTTAACTGAAGTAGGTCTTTTAAGTCTTGGAACGTTTAGCATTGCTCTCAGAGAATGAGGTTCTTATTCTTTGAGATGTTCAATAATATTGACCTGAAGGTAAAGACAGAGGAAAAATGAAATAGCATTTGTGGGCTTGAATAGAAGGAAATGGACCTTACTGATCAGGAAGATATTTTGAAGTTATTTTTCACCAGCAATACCATTAGGGTTTGTATTGAGCTGCTTCAGAAGTAGTGTAGCCAGCAGGACCAGGGCAATGGTCATCCCCTGTACTTGGTGAGGCTGCACCTTGAGTGCTGTGTCCAGTTCTGGGCTCCTTGTTACATGAAGAATATTGAGGTGCTGGAGTGAGTCCAGAGAAGGGCAGTGGAGCTGGTGAAGGCTCTGGAGCACAAGCCCTAGGAGGAGCAGCCGAGGGAGCTGGGAGTGTTTAGCCTGGAGAAAAAGAGGCTCAGGAGAGATCTCATTGCTCCCTACAACTACCTGAAAGGAGGGTGTAGCCAGGTGGGAGTCAGCCTTTCCATCCCAGTCAAGATCCTACCCCAGCAAGAGGCAGAATGAAGAGAAATGGCCTCAGGTTCCACCAGGGTTGGATTTAGATTGGATATTGGTAAAAAATTCTTTATTGAAAGAGTTGTCAAACATGGGAACAGGCTGCCCAGGACATTGGTTGACTCTCCAGTCTTGGAGATGTTTAAAAGATGTGGAGGTGGCATACTCATGGACACAGTTTAGTGATGGACTTGGCAGTGCTGAGTGTTGGACTTGATGACCTTAAATGTCTTTTCCAGTCTAAATGGTTCTATGGTTGTATGTGAGTAAGTCCAGTTGAATGGCCAAGAGTTTGTTGCAAATGTTGAAGTGAAACATCAGTAACAAATTAAATTGTTTGTGCTCTCTAAATGTCTAATTATACAAGGGGAAAAACAACACTACATTTGTCTTGACAGCCTTGGCAGTGGTTTTTAAGCTCTGCTTTTCCCTGTAAAGTATCTTAGTATTTGGATTTTAAATGTGAATATTGTATGGTTTTTGTTTCTACAGTTAAAAGTATTAATGAAAGGACTCTAAAATATGCGTGGTAGTGGGTTTGTTTTCCTTTGGTGAGAAAAAAATCCTTCATTATTATAAGGATGGTGAGTTTCAGTTTTAACTTTACTCTTAATGACTATTTTAAAAAATCAAGCATTTTATTTTATGATTTCAAATACCAAATATGTAAAATCTCTCGGATACAATCAAAGCCCCTGGAATGAAGATGTTATTTTTCTGGAATATTTATTTTTTTGTAAGTGAATTTTTGTTGCTGGTTTCCTAGTTTATTTAGGGAAAAAAAAAAGAAATATTTTAATGTTATTTGTTGAAGTCTAGTTAGAGGTGATTGATAGTTGATGAATTTCAAATTTAAGGTATTGGGTGGCATTTCTGTAAGGCATTCATCCTATTTCTTTATATTCCAGCAGTGATGACATTTTCTAAATTTTGGGGAATGAAGTCACTTAAATGTTCAATATCAGCTAATGCAGAGGAATAGATGTCTTATTCTTCTTTTTAGACCGCTTTATAATACATTTATGAACACAAACATAATAGGACAGTTCTGGTAAATTATTTTTGTTTGTGCTTATGAGAATGTGTATTTACAAATATTGTAAACATAAGGCATATTTAATAATGTGTTGTTTGTAGTTTATAGGTAATTAATTTTTTCTTACATGTTTTCTTTCTACCTTGTTTTAAAACTGTGTCTTTCTGATGTGTGAATAAGCAGTTGATTCTTTGCTGGCTTTCATTTTTATTAAGAAGAATGATTCCTGTGAGAGTTAAAGGCGTTGTGGTTGTGTTGAGTGTAAACAGGAGCTAAAATATTGTCATCTTAGGCTGT